TATACCTAGACAAAGCATATATATATACGTATACAAATATATAGACATAGATATATAGACGATATTGGCGTGTACAGGAGGCATTCGCCTTAACAATGTTAACTCAGGGACAACTGATTCAGCGACAGCAAACGCTCCACGGCTGCATTGATATCCCCAAACGTTGCAATAAGAGCTGTTGTCGATAAAGAGAGAGAGAGAGAGATCGAATGAGTATATATATTATAGATTAGGATATAAATTTCAATATATATATAGCTAGTTATCTGTGTACAGTTGAAATACTCTTGCAGCAGAGAATTGTCTAACTTCAATTAACTTTTTATATAATATAGATCAGTCTATATATAAGTAGACTTCCTGACTAGTTTGCTTAAAATAGATTATAATCCTCTATAAAGCACACTTTACATCCTCTTCTATAAATAGACTTACTGACTCGTTCGTTTAAATGAGTTTAGATTAGACTATAATGCACTCAATTTGTTTTAAAGATTATTCATAGAAGAACTATATATATATATACTAGCTCGATACGTAAGAAGTAGAGCACAGAACTGAGAGAACTCGAATTCGTCTGCAAAGTGATACGAGAGATATATACATATGTATATATATAATGTATAGATACAGTTGGGCTTTTGAGCTAAGGATCGACTAGTAAGAGTTGACTTCACTCAAGTGCTGACTTATAGGCTACACACAAAATTGACAGATATAAGTTAACCATATAGATAAGCAACTGTACTGGACTGGAACATACGTGGTTTAGCAGAAAGATTAATCGACTAACGAGTATACTTATATGATACATATAGCTATCATATGTATGTATATGGGAGTATATTAATATGCTTGGCATTTTGATTTGATTAATATGATCTGGCTGATCTTTCACTGCCTAAATACACATATAACTAAATATAGACGCCTGCCTTTACAACCTATAACTATACAACACATGTTAAATGTCTTAAACTAATCTACACTCTGCTGGATTATTATCAACTGTACAAATATCATCTTATATAGATATATATCTATATATGCACATAATTAGCTATATATTTAGATATGTAGTCAGCTTACCCTGCAAATTGGCATCGCGATTGACAAAGCCCATGGAATCGAGCTGCTCCAGTTGGGATTGGTAGCGCACCTCCGGTGGCTGCGTACTGTCTGCATTGTTGGACATGCCGTTGAGCATGCGCATCATGAAATCGTTAAAGAGCTGGGCATTGGGTCCGCCGCCGGGTGCCAATGGTGGATTTGCGGCACTAGCATTGTTCGGCGTTGTTGAATTAATGCTGCTGGCATTGGTGGCGCTATTAGTGGAATTTGTGGTTGTGGTGCCATCGCCGCTAGCCGGATCAGTGTTATTGACGCCCGGTGGCGGCGGCGGTATGCCCAGTGTGCCAACTAGATTCGGTGCAGCGCTACGCAGCTGTTCCATGCCCTGTTGAATCTGCAGGATGGCATTGATTGCCTCCGGATTGGTTAGCATGTTCATCACATCCGGATTCTGCATCTGTGCCATAAACTGAGGCATCATTTGTCGCACTTGCTCCTGCAGCTGTGGATTGTTCGCCAACAGGGGGCTGGTACTAAGTAAGCGTGACGCCATATCTGGATCCTGTGACATCGATTCCATCATCGAACGTGTATAGGGGGCGTTCAATAGATTTTGCATCAATGCTGGATTATCGGCCATCTGTTGAAGCAGGCTACGCATTGCCGGTGTATTGAGTACATTGTTTGGTGGCTGATCCCCGCCACGTTGATTGTTTGGGCCCGAATTATTGCTTTGGGAGTTGGAATTGGTGCCACTTCGATTGCCGCCTCCGGTGCCCCATGGATTTGGCAACGGATTGCGATTCTCCGTGCCTTGCTGTGGATTAACTCCGGCAGTACCGCCGCCACCGCCCTCGACTAGGCCGGCAAACGGATTGCGTCCAAAAGATTCGGTTGCCGCATTCATCATCGGCTCCTGTATATCACGATAGATGCGCTGCAATGCGCTATAGCCACCAGGCACCGATTCCAAATTCGACATAGCACGATCATGCGAACGCATTAGCTCCTGCAACATCGACGGATTGCGCGCCAACTCCATTGTTTGACGCAACAGATCAGGATTGTTAAGCATATGCGAAATTTCTGGATTACGCTGCATTAAATCCTGCATTTGCGGATTCGATGTGATCAGCTGACGCATAGTCTCGGGATTGTTCATCATTTGCTGCACCAGCGGATTATCCATCAGTGAACGCAACATATCTCCATTATTTAACAATTCATTCTGCATGCGTGCCTGCAAGTCCATAAAGGTATTCGAGCCGGCTCCTAGTGCTTCCATACCAGCCAATCCACCAAAATGATTCAGGCCAAACGGTGTCTGACGTACATCAGCCGGTGCACGTGCCGGCGCTTCATTCGTACGTGTGGGCGCTTTGATAACGAGATGTACTGTTAAATTGTCCTTGATGTTATGCATCTTAAGGGTGTCGGTGTCCTTCATGATTTTACCAGCAAAGATTAGCACCAATTGCTCCGGTTCAGCCTCAAATTTTTGTGCCACCAAAATTTTGAACTAATTGAAAGAAAGAATTTTATAAATCAGCACCAATAAAAACAATTCAATTTTAATTGCAAAATGTAAAGAAAAACAACGAACAATGTTGCCCCATCATCATCAATATTTACATACAATGACACACACACACCCATACACTTACATATACATTATTTGCACTTTGCCATCCTTTCTAGAAAAAATGCACTGTACCTTCAATTATAGGCACGCACGCACACATGCACACAAATACGTGGTGCACAGAAGACAAGTGTGCCCACCCCTCCGGACAGTGCTTAGCCGCAATAATTATGTTTCATTAGACTGCCCCTGCCCTCGTCGTTGTCCATGTACCATCACATACTCACAAATATAAATACTCACATCTTTTATTCCAGAATCTTCATCGACTTCAACAGTTTTCTTGTCCTTTGGCGTTTTAACTACCACGTTGATGCGCTTACTACCGCCTTCGGCCATTTTGATATTGTTTTTTTCGCGCTAGTTTTATGCGTTCTTAATATAATGCTATGTTTTCA